GTTTTGCCTTGGGAGACCCTACCGGGGGTATATAGCCCCCAACAACATAGCTCCTAGGATCACTCGGGTACTCAAACCCCTCCACCACAATATGGTGGCGGTTCAAGGAGGGGTGCCCATCTTCAGAGAGTTCAAAATGCGGCTGCTCGTTTACTGGTTGAGGGGCACAAAGGGGATCATATCACTCCCATTTTGGCTTCTCTTCACTGGCTGCCGGTGTATTTTAGAATTCATTTTAAGATTCTTTTATTTGTTTATAAGTCTTTAAATGGTCTGGCCCCCTCTTATCTTAGAGTTGTTGCGTCCCTATAGTCCTTCTCGGTGCCTCAGATCAGCTGCTTCTTGAGATACCGAGGGCTAGGCTGAGACTTAGGGGGAACAGGGCTTTTGCTGTGGGGGCTCCTAAGTTGTGAAATTCACTGCCCCTATACATTAGGCAGGCCCCCTCGTTGTCCATTTTTAAAGTGTATTTGTAAACTCATCTGTACCTTTTGGCATTTGACCCAGTATGAGGCTTTATTTTGTTGAGGATTTTTTTGTTTTATGATGGGTGGTTGTTTAATTGTAATTTTGTTTTATTATTGTGTTTTGTGTTAAGCACTTTAGTCAGCTGTTGCTGTGTTAAATGTGCTATATAAATAAAGTTGATGATGATGTTGTGATGGAAAATGCGTGAATGATCAATTTGTAATCCTATAACTTGAGTTGATTTTACTCTTAAACATCAATATGTCCACAGGTTTTACCAAATCATAATTTCTTATTTTTTCATTTTGTAAACATTGCCGTGGCATCATGTCAGCAGCCCGCTGGGTACCTGTCTCATGCTCCCCCGGGTTGTCAGAGATTTCCATGGCGTACATCTTCAGACCCTGAGAGCTTTTACCGATGTTGTAAATTCTGGTGATGTTGGGACACTCCTCGTTTATCACTTTCATCATCTGGAATAGAGCAGCATAAAAAGCTCATTTGTAATGTTGTATCAGCTTTGACACTGTGCAGCACTGTGACTTAAAACCAGACCTGTCTCATCTCCTTGTAGTTGTGGTGTCTGAAGTCCAGGTCGTCTGACGGGTTGACCTCATTCTCGCTGCGGTAGCTGCCTGAAAGAAGCAGACTGACTTTCAGCTGCTGATGTTAGATGTTAGTGTTCCTGCTATAACTAGTGCTGTGAAACCCCTGACTATGGGACATGAACTGTGGAAACAATTCTGTGATGCAGTTATATGATTCGCTGTTTAACACTGAGGTTAATCAGGCTGTGTAACTGTTATATCAGTAGATCATTGTTCTTGAATGAAAGCAGCTCCGGGTTGGTGTCTTTCTTCCAGCGGAGCTCAACATAAGGAATGAGAAACATATGACTCATCAGGTCATTAAATCTGCACAGTGTTCGAGCAGCGGCAGTGGTGTGACACTGACTGGGTAGTTGACAGGCCGGGATCTCAGCTGGGAGACACAGGCTGCCGTTCCAGCTCTGAGGCAGGATGCGGATGTAACGTGCCACCACGGAGGGAGCAAACTGACTCATCACCGGTGTGTCCTTATCCACATTTCCATAGAACAGCTGCAGGAGAGAAAAAGCATGTAGCTTTAATGAGCCGGTGTCATTCTGTAAAACAGTGGCTGTTATCTGTGTTTTCCTTTTCACTCACCCATTCAGCGTAGCCATCATCGAGGAGAGTCCAGTCATGGCTGTCGTTACTGAAGGCCACAAAGTAGGACGACACAAAATCCTCACTGGGAAGTAGAGCAGATCAGTCAGTCCATATTTGTACTGTGGATTCTCATTTCCACCAGGAAGAGGAAGAGCAGAAGTGTTTGAATGAATGAATGACACTTTATTATAGACTCAAGCTCCAAGTTAAAAAAACAAACAAAAAAAAAACAAATAAAAAACAGTTAAAAAGGAAAGAAGAGGAAACAAAAATAAAAAGAAAACCGAATACAAGACATCAACCATAAACTACTATCCCTTTAAAAGGCAGACATACCAGTGTTTCCAAAGAGTTGAAGTAAATCTCATGTCACTGTGTGCAACATTAGTCAACAATAAAATGATATTATTTTCAGAACAGTTCAAG